TGATAGCTGCCTCAAGTGCTCATTAAGGGATCAACAGTTAAAAGATTTCAAGATAGGATCAACAGTTAAAAGCAGTTTTAACAAAGCTTGAATGTTTCCATTATGCAGATAAGATTGCAAAAGCGCAGTAACATTTTCGTTTCGATGCCCACGCCATGGTAGCCCTTGAATAATAAGAGTTCAAAATGGTTTAATAATGCTTTTAAGAACAAAGCAGTTTTGTTCAACAGCTGTTTTAATGCATTTTCCTGCTTTAGTAAATGTTTCCTGCTTTAGTAATGTTTGAAGCATTTTCCTGCTTTAATAAATGTTTAGTAAATGTGTCAAGTGCTGCAGAGTGGGATATTGATACTTCATGTCTGTTAATGTTGTGAAGATGGTGCAATCTCCCAGATGAGTCAAGTGAACATTCAGTCACAAACATGTTGTTGGCATTGCTATTAAAGCAAACACATACACTGCAAAAAAACATTTCTCGTTTCTTGTCAAAGCTGAGCCAGGTGCGAACAGTTTCATCTGGTTTGTTATCAATGTTGCATTTATAAACTTTTGATACTGTAATTTTTACAGAACTAGGTTGAGTAGGATGAGTTACAAAACTTACCTCTTGGCCGGTTAGTGGCCTTTCCCAAAGTTTACTTAAAACATCAACGGTATCAAGCGTTTCTACTGACTTCGTTGAATTAAAAAAGTATGGACTACCAATACTGCCCAACGATGTTGATATTGTGAAGTCAACTAGATTACTACTGTCAGAAAGCTCATCAATAAGATTTCTCAGTGGTTGTGACTTCTCTTCCGAATCAAAAGATGCATTATTTGTTGATGTCGACAAGAACAATCCAGAAAGAGTTTTTTGTCCAGATTGCAAATTCTTTAAATCAGATCCTAATTTATCTTTTTTCTTTTCCCACCCCAATTTTTGCTATTTCATATTTTTCTGGAATGAAAGATGTATAATTTCATTAAATAACTATAAAAACATCAAATATTAACATTATCTCTAGCTATAAATGTTATGTTTATATTATTGCTTTGGCATAGCTATATATATATATATATATATATATATATATATATATATATATATATATATATATATATATATATATATATATATATATATATATATATATATATATATATATATATATATATATATTATAATAAATACGTCTTTGTCCTTTGTTCGATTATCAGTAATTTCTGTATTCAGCTTGTTTACTTTACTAAGTTTGTTTTTCTGTTGAAACTAAGTTTAATTTTATAAACCTTAATAATTGCTTTTTTTTTCAAAGAAGATAAATTGAAAATCTATGCACGTTGTAATAAAAGCACATTTTTTTGTAAGATTTGCCATAAAATTACACCCCACAATCAATTAAAATAACTTGTTAAACTGCTTTTTAAAAAATATGAGTCCACAAATTTTCATAGAAAAAACATATCATGTAATATATTTAATTAGATTGAAGGGTGGGAGAACAGCAAATACATTAAAACTAATATTTAACATTAAAAACTTTAGTAAACACATTTTATTTTAAGAACATAGTTTTAATTATAGCTTTTTTTTTAAGATTTGACAGAGAACCAGGCCTTGTTTGTTACACATATAGTTTGTTTTACGCATATAGTTTGTTTTAACAACTTGACCACGGCTCTTTGTAAGTTTTAATAATTAGCGCGTTTAAAAAATGCGTTAAAAAAAAAACAACAAAGCAAACTATAATTAAAATAAATAATCCATAAACTGAAAAGAGAATAAAATTCTTAAAAATATATATAATACAAAAATTAAGCTAAAAAAATAAAATATTTAAAGAATGATAAAATAAACAAAGGAAGAACCAGAAAAAAAATCAAAACATTAATGTAAACTTAATTATAAGCGAAAGTAAAATAAAAACATCACAGATCTAATAATCTTTATTATTCCTTCCCATGAATAATAAAGATATTTATTATTCATGACTTTATTATTCCTTCCCATGAATAGGCTAATACAAAGGAAGACCAATAGTGAGGGAAAGGATCATGAGGACGTCTTCCCCCTCCCCTCCCCTCCTCAGATTTTTTATTTATTTTTTTAGAAATTAATGTTTAAAAACTTTGCGTGCATTTCTTTCTGTCTGTCTTTTAAGAAATGCGGGCATTTCTTAAAAGACAGACAGAAAGAAATGCACGCAAGAAAAACAAACATTGATTTTTGCGCTAGAAAGAAAAACAAACATTGATAAATGCGCGCAGAAAAACAAACATTGATTTTTCAAAGCAAACGCATTACTTCAGCATTTTTTTTCATTTTTGCGATCAATAATTTTTTGTTTATTATAAAAAACACATATTTAAAATGAAAAACAATTAATTTCAGAGTCTTAAAAATAACGCCAAAAAATAATTACTTTTTTCAATTGCGTCACTTTTAAGTAAAAAAAGAAAGTAATTGTATTTTAGCATGGTTTTTGCATGCGTTCACAAAAGCATTTATAATTTTACTTAAAATGAATGTAAAAACTTCGAAAGAAACCATGCTTTAGCATTTCAATTCTTTTCTTTTATTGAAGAAAGTGATCGTAAAGTTTAAGTATGATTTCTTTTATGTTTTTTGCAATTACATTAAAAGTTTAAATCAAATGAATTCATTATAAATAAAATTTTGCATGCTTTTTTTTTTTAATTTTCTTGTTTTCCATAAAGTGAAATAATGATTGTTTGCATGTTAAAAACACTTTCTAAAGTTTTTTGATATTGTGCATTTATCATTAATTTGCGCGCACTTTGCAAATGTGTAGTTTATTCAATTTTTAATTTTCAAAAAAAAGTTTTTGAAAAATAAAAATTGAATAAATTTACCAAGCATCTTTTATGTATTTAATAACTTATTATCTAGAACAAAAATTATTTGAAATTTATTGGACCTAAATCTCTTAAATTAAACGTTCTTTAATAAAAAAAAGATACCCAAGTCAACGTTCATTAAAAAAAATGATGTTATGCCCTGGGATAAGAAATAGTTAGCAGATTCGACTGTTTTAAGATTATTGTAATTCTTTTTTTAGCAAATAATTTCTTTTTCAAAAATTATATTTTCATGATAAAATGGTTTGTAATTATTTTTTGATAGCTTCTGTACTTATTTTGCCTTAAACTCTTATCTAAATATTTTTTTCAATGATTGCCTTTGTGTTCCATTTAGCACACATTTTTTTTGTGAGCAAAGATTTACAAATATTTATAATCTATCAATCTAGATATATTATTAAAATATCTAGATATATTAAACATATATCTAGATATTTGAATAATACAACTAAATAATGGTAAATTTATTTATATATATATATATATATATATATATATATATATATATATATATATATATATATATATATATATATATATATATATCTATATATATATATATATATATATATATATATATATATATATATATATATATATATATATATATATATATATATATATATATATATATATATATATATATATATTTATATATTTAAATACATATTTTTAAATATTTAATTGTTTATATATATATATATATATATATATATATATATATATATATATATATATATATATATATATATATATATATATATATATATATATATATATATATATATATATATATATATATATATACAAATGCGGGCCTTCAAATCAAGCATATGTTGTGAAATCTCGCATATATGGGCCTTTTTAAAAAAATCCCGCATGTGCTTTTTGGAGCCAGCACGCCCCTAAGGTTTACCAGATTCATACCATTGATAACATCCTTTAAAATACCATGGTCAGAGATTTTAATTTATTTTCTAGCATGTAGAAATATATATCAATGTATTTCATTTTAACCTATAAATTCTAAAATAGATTCATTAGAAATCATTTAAATGACAGTATATTTATGTATAAAAGTTTAAAGATGATGTGTTTTATTTTTAATTAAAAACCCAAGTGAATAATTATAAATTAACTAATTTAAAAAACTTGTGGTTTGTTTGTTGTGGGCAAAATTTTAGTAATAACCTGGTATCTAAAAGTGAATTTGTGGACAAGGTGGTACTTTGTGGGAGCTAAAACTAACTTTAAATTATAATGTATATACTCAGTAAAGATTTTAATTCATTCTCAGACTGGAGGATATTGGAGAATTTTTTAATTAAATAAAGTAAGTAAAAATTTGCACTAAAAAAACCTGTAAAAACACATCATCTTAAAAATTAAATAAAATTTCTTACTTACAAGCAAAAAATGTGCAGCAAAGTTATTTTGTTTAAAAAAATATCAATCTATCAATGTATAAAAAAATTATAGCGCAAATAATTTTAATTTAAAAAAAGTTTACAAATTCTGTGTAGCAACACATATATTTTATTAATTTTTAATTTAAAACTTACAAATCTGGAAAAAAAATTTAACTTCAACAGGCCATATAAAATTTAATATAAAAGCTAGTGACTAAAAAATATCTAATTTATAACTGTGCACTACCACCTTAAGGAAGACTACATAAACTGTACAAACAAACTTTTGTAAAATCATCTGAACTAATTGGGCTCCAATTCCGCTTACGGTTTAAACGTTAAAAGGCCTTGGTTTTAGATTTTAGTCATGATATTGATGATACAATAAGAAATATTATTTAGTATTACATAATTTGACAAATACTAATGTATTTGTCAATTGTGAAAATAATAAACGTTATTTAACTTGAATAACTTTAATTATTAATAAAGTCAAATTAAAAAATATATATATATAGTTCCCAGCCCGCTGAAGTTACACTTAAATCTTTTCGGTCAAGCCGGACCTGCAATTTGGATATCAATGTCTACTTTAAAAAATGAATTAAAAAAGTTGATTAAAAAAATAATTATCACTACAGTTATCAATTATGTAAACTTAAACAAAATGCTTTTAACATATGCTTTTATTATTTTTTATGTTTGACAAATTAATTTAAATTTTACCATTATCATAAACCTTTTCGTTGTCATTACCTAAAAATTAATAAGAAACATAACTAAATTAGCTAAAAAGGTTATTTAAGTGAAAGTAAAACACATTATTAACTATACAATATAAAAAAATTAAAAGTTTTTGTACCATGAAAGCAGTGCTTCTGTCACTTATCTAGGATGCAAATCGTATCTATTTTATCTAACACATTGAGTGAGACAAGGATCGATTCTGTCTCCTCACCTGTATAATATATATACTCAAAGCCTACTTAAAACTATACAAAATGAAATTATCTTAGGGACATCAATTATGGAAACTACACAGGTGTTGTAGCATACACTGATGACATCATACTTCATCGTTCTGATATTAAAAAGCTTATAGCAGCTTGTAATATACACTCTGTCAAAAAAGTTTTCATCCACCTATTCTGTACATTTTTCAGACTTGATAACTTTTTATTCAGCAAAGATATAAGTATAATTTCAACTAAATTATATCAGTTAACTGTTCAAGAAGTATTGTAAAAAAAGATTTTACAAAATAACAAATAAAAAATTAAATACAGCATTTTAAAATAAACAATGTCCGTTTTAGCGCCAAAAAAGTTATCATCTACCCTGCACTCCAACTTTAATTTGTTATTAAATCAGTATTAAAGTAATATTTTTAAAATATAAATTATTTAATTAAATAAATTTTATATAAATAAATTAATTAAGATTTTGTATTATTTTTTCTTTATATGAATTTTTCTATTTTTTATTTGTGTTAGATTATTAAAAAAAAATGAGAGTTGCAGAGGAAATTAGATTGCTTATTGTTAGACTATGGAAGGAGGGCAAAAGCAAAAAATAGGAGCAATTGTGCAGTTGCGTGCAAAAACGTGCAATTGTGCAGCAAATTATCAAGAAATACCAAACCACTAAAAAAATTGCTGATAAGCTGCAAACAGAACGTCCAAATAAAATTTGAGTATTGCATCAACAAGCTATTTTGAGAACAGTCATCCAAAATCCTAAAATAAGTGCTCCGAAACTCGTTGGAATGCTGCAAAATGATTACAATTTAAAAGTGGACCCTGAAACTGTTAGAATAACCTTAAAAAGAGCTGGGTACAATAGTAGAGTACCATTGAAAAAGCCCTACATTAGCAAAGTCAACAAAGCCAAAAAACTACACTTTGCAAAACTTTATATTAATGAACCAAAACGTTCTGGAAAATGGTCCTTTTCCTTTTCAGCAATGAGTCAAAATTTAATATGTTTTCATCAGATGGAAAATGTTAAAGTTTGGAGAAAACCAAATGAAGCATTTAAAAAATAAAACTTGTGTCCAACAGTGAAGCATGGTGGAGGAAGTGTTTTAGTGTAGAGGTGTATGAGTGCTTCCGGTGCAGGTAACTTGGTTTTCATTGGTGGAAATATGGATTATTATGTATATATTTAAACATTTTAAAAAATAATCTGGAAGAAAGTGCCTACAAACTGGGACTTACTAGGTCATTTATTTTTCAGCAAGATAACGATTCAAAACATACAGCTGAACTTGTCAAGGAATGACTTATATTTAAAATAGCAAAGCAGCTTCATACACTCCCACAATCTATTGTATAGGCTATTGCTTTAGATGTTTCAAGAATCAGTGTTTTATTTATTTTATTCCCATTATGGCAATTCAGATCTTCAAACATTTTTGAAAAAGAAAGTAGTTGTTGCAGGCGAAGATCATCAGGTGATTCAATAACAGAACACAATGGGTCTCTTAACCTTTTATCATCATCAGGTTTGTGAACATTAATAATTTTCCAGGCATCAATAAACATTTTAAAAAACAAAACAGTTCCTTTAAAATTGACTTGGTTTATATAAGGATGTGTTTTTAATACAGAAAAAGTTTTTACACAAAAAACTCTCAAACACAAAGAAACATTTTTTCGCTCAACAGGCTTTGAATAAATTGTCACAAATGTATCACACTCTAAGCAATAGTTTCTTAAGGTTATCCCACCTTGCACCAACAACAAAATTATCAGATTTTTCCATCTATAAACAGAATCATAAAGTAAAGAAATTGCATTTTTAGTCAACCATGGTTTTTCAACAACAGTTTCAAAGTGAGAGAAAAACTGAACATTTATTTTATTATTGTCACATAGACCTGCAACGCAGCTTACATTTGCATTTGAAATTGATCTAAGAGAAGATTTAACTAATTCATACTGAAAATCTGAGTGATGATTTTCTTTAAATGTATGTTAGAGCTTCATTAACTTACCATGGTAAGTTAATAAAGCTTTAACATACACTTCATCTACTATTAAAACACACTGTCGTTGGCGATTTTTAAGTTTGCTAAATACACATAAAACAAATTCGCCATTGTTCAACTTACAAGCTTTTGATTTCAATTTTTGTAGAGTAACTGGGAAGCTGATAATCATTTGTAATTCTTTTATCAAGTGCTCTTGAAACACCAAAATAATCTAAAGCACAAACTATAGAATACAATGTATCACCAATACTTGAGATTTTTATAGATAATAAACTTTCTATAAGAACTTATTTTTTTCTCAATAACTTGACATTAGTCAAATACCTTAGAGCATCAACCATGCTCAACCATTTATTTAAAATAGCTATAGTTTTTGACAAATATAATACATAACATAAACACCCACAATGTTACGCCTCAAATTTTAAAATACATTGAGTATAAACCTAATAAATAATGCAGATAAAAAAATCAAAAAAATTATTTTTATTAACAATTTTAAAAGTACCAACTTTAACTAAATTAACATTATCTTGGTAAACCACAGTAAAATTCAGTTGATTGAAAACTAGTTTTTTCATCTCATTCATATACAACTAATAATTTTAGTAAATTGAAGTATTTTTTTTGGGTAAACACTATAATGCAAATTACCCATGGCTGTAAAAGTTGATCAGCTTTTACCTTTCTTTTTTTGGAAGTTACTGAAGCTGTAGTCCTTGACTTTGGTGGTGCAGTTGGTTTAAGGCTGGACTTAACATAATGTTACTTTTCGGCATCTTTTACAATTTTCTAGTAAACTGTATTAGTAACTCAATTAGTAACTCACCAATTTAAAGACATAATAAGTTAGTCTTTTTTATAATTTGTTTTGAAAATAATTATTTTGCTCTAACATTAAGAAAGTCTACATAGACTGCAGTAACAAAGTTTTGTATATATTTTGAAATAATTGGCCAAAAATTTTTCTTACAGATTACACATTAATAGGACTTTTCAGATAGTCGTGATATTGATGATACAATAAGAAATGTTATTTAGCATTACATTTCTCGATTGCAAAAATAATTAAAGTTATTTAACTTAAATAACTTTAATTATTAATAATGTCAAAGTAAAAAATATATATATAGTACCGAGCTTGTTGGTGTTGCACTCAAATCTATTTATTCCAGCCGGACCTGCAATTTGGGTACTGATGACTTCTTTAAAAATTAAAAAAAAAAGTTGATTAAAAATTATTATCACTAAAGTTATCAATTACATAAACTTGAAAAAATGTTTTTAACATGTTTTTATTATTTTTTATGTTTGACAAATTATTTTGAACTTTACCATATTCAACATAATCATCTTTGCTGTCATCACCTAAAAAAGGGTAATATAAGTTAAAGTAAAGCACATAATTAACTATACAAAATAAAAATAAAAATAAAAATAAATATAAAACATATTTTTCAAATAAGTCAAAACTTTTTATAAAAACAAGATGAGATATCAAAAGGTTTACACATTAATAGACCTTGGTTTCAGATAGTCGTGATATTGATGATACAATAAGAAACAATGTTTTAGTATTACATTTGTCGATTGCAAAAAAAAAAAGTTATTTAATATAGATAACTCTAATTAATAATGTCAAATTAAAAATATATATATAGTACCCAGCTCGCTGAAGTTGCACTCAAATCTTTTTGTTCCAGCCGGACCTGCAACTTGGTCTACATTAAAAAATAAAATAAAGAGTTGAAAAATTATCATCACTAAAGTTATCAATTACAAATAAATACGTAAACTTGAATAAAATGTTTTTAACATATACTTTCATTATTTTATTATGTTTGAAAAATTTATTTGAATTTTACCATATACAGAGACATCATCATAGACCTCATCTAAAAATAATGGGAAACATAACTAAATATGCTAAAAAGGTTATTTAAGTTAAAGTAAAACACATTATCAACTATAGAGAATAAAAAAAAATAAAAATAAATATAAAACATATTTTTTAACAAAGTCAAAACTTTTTGTAGAAACGAGATGTCAAAGGTCAGCTAATTAAAGAATCAAAGACTTTTGTTCTCCAAAAACTTGTTCTTTTAGAAAGGATGAAAGAACTTAGGTGCTATTTCTGCAGTTAGAAATAGCACTCACCCTGAAGGAAAAAAACAAAAAGGTAAGTGAGGTTTGTATTTACACTGTCAAGATAGAACAAATACATCCATGCCTTTGCAAATCTAGGATGTTTTAAATGAGATGCTATCTTTGACAGAGAGACAAACACCATCAGCTCAAGGAAATTAAAAAAGGAAACCTGGTCAGCCTTAGTAGTAAGTGGGCAATAATATAGTGAATCTATTGTAAAAGAATTACAAGATGAACATTTAGTGGGATAATGTTTTATTTAGAACTACCTAAAGCACAACAAGTAGTAGCTGAGCATAATATAGGATCAGAGACAAGACAAAAATCAAGTAATGGAGGTTAGTGAATAGGGTTAATATTCAAAACTAGATTCATCAGCAATAAATTAAGAAGTCTTTAAATGTCTACCAATTGACATTAAAACTTACTTAAGTACTGATATTACTAAAACAGATGATCACATAGTTTGAAAATAGTTTGACTCTATCAAGTATGACTGTTCATTGCCTAAAACTTAAAACTGATGTTGTTATATATTACTTAAAAATTTACATTTGAACTTTAAAATAAAACAAGCTTGATGTTGTGCGCGCTACAAAATAACTAAAAACAGGCTAGACTTAATAGGTATTTCTGCCGGAAAGAGGGTATTTTCTCCGTGTGTACAGTAAACTCAATCCTATTTAAAATTATTATTAACAATCAAAACCTATTAAATAAAAAACAAAATAAAAAAGTATCAAAGCCTATATTGCTTTGTACATGGATCCTGGTCTCTTAAATGTGACTGAATATCCTATTTATTTTTCATTTAAGAACACATTGCATGTACTAGATAATTAACTTTTAAATCAATAGTTCTGTACAACTTTGTGCAGTTTCACTAAAAGTACCTTAGAAATCAAATGTCTAAAGTCTATCAGTATTTCTGAAATAAATGAGTTTTAAGTTTCTTTTGAATCTAGAAAAAAATGGCAACATCAAGTGATTTTGAAACTTCAATCTCTTGATTGTTAAATATGTGAGATAATATTATATATTATTATAATAATATATTATTACTATATATGTGAGATAATAATATTACAAATACTTTCTCCAACAAAAGTAATTAAAACTTGTCTAACTTTCCTGTTGTGGATCCTGTTATTATGTGACCTGTGTAAAAAGGCAGTTGTATCAAATGTCATGTTGACAATCTAATCTGTACAATTCCAAAAGAGCAGGAGGTCAAAAAAAATAAAAAAAAAACATGTGAAAAAACAAACTAATGAAGTTACTAGACTTGCAATCCTCGGCAAGTTTGATGTAAAACCTTGAATCCTGAGAATTGCTGGCATTTCTTTAAAATATTTTCTGATATATAAAATAATTGCTGATGTAAACATTGCAAAATTGAAATGAAACATTGAAATGCAAAATTGCAAGCTTAAGAGCAATCCACTATTTTCATTTGCTGGCCAAATGTCTTTATAGAATGTAGAAAATTGAGACCTGAAAAATTTCTGTACTTATAAGTGTTTCGTCTTATTGATACTAATAAAATTACAAAAAATGTTTCTAACAACAGGTTTTAAAGTTAAAACCTAGTATTTATATTGCAAATTTTAAACATTTTAAAAAATTTACACATCACATATTCAATTAGACACATCACATAATTAATTAGATGTTTACAAATAAAGATATGATGGATGAATGTCATAAATAGTGATTTTTTGCATATTTACAATATCTATATTAATATACTGACATAAAATATTCAAACCAATATATCTGTAGGGTTCTAAAAGTTTCACAGCATCGAAGCAATGTATCTTCTCTAGTAAAACAATTAGATCATCCACTGTTCTTGATCCTAATAAGTAAGATTTTTTAAAGTTCTTATCTAATAAGTAAGATTTTTAAAAGTTATGAAATATAAAAATTGATAATAAATTTCAATATAATAAACTAAATAATTGCTAATAATTAATGATTGATTTAATGCTGCTGTTACTCATTTGTGCATGTTTGACACAGAGTTTTTTAAAGAAGATTTATCACGCTTGGCCTTATAATATTTCTTTAATATTTTTGACCATGCGATAAGGTATTCTTAAATATTTATTACCTTTATTATAATCTATTAATATCTGCCTAATCAAAATAAGATATAAAACTTTTATATTAAATAATAGTATAAATGAATAAAAATTTTGTAGTAATATATTAACTTTATTTTATTTCTAAAATAGTAAAGTAACTTTTCAAGTCAGGCAATTTATTTAACTTAAGTATTTTAATAATAACACAATTCAAGTTCTTTGTCTTGTATGTAAACACAGATGTATCTAAATTATATACATCTGTGTTTTTTATTTTGAAGAGTTCAAAGACGATGCTCTTTTTTTGAAGGTCATACTTTTAATAAAATTCAAACTGTCAACTCTGTTGCAACTCACTGTCAACTCTGTTGTATCTCTCACTATCACATGCAACTCTGTTGCATATTTAAGAACAAGATTGCTTAATAGCTTATTTTTAAAAAATTGTTTTTCTTGTTTTTTAAAGTTGATAAACATGCATTACAAGGTGTTAGGTCATTGAACAAATATTACAAAAATAAGGTTATATTTGTTAATGTTTATAATTTATATATCTTTCTTAATTCATATATTTAATTATTTTTATGAGTCATATGATGTGGTAATGTGTTTTTTTTTTTATTTGTTTATATGTGTCAAGGTTAAATTGATTTATATTTTGTAAGTGTTAATGTATAATAAATGAGTAAATATCTGTTGTATACGAAGTGTTTTTATGTGTTATAATGTCTGTTTGTAATCATAAATTGTGTAATGGCAAGTATGCTACGCAACCAAATATACTATTATACTATTTAGTATAATATACTATTATACTAAATTACTATATTCTTTTGATAAAGTTCTTAAAACTGATGATTTACCTCTGTCTATAAACCATTTCTCGTCTTTTTGTTTAAATAAAGTTTTCTAATCTAATTAATAATTATGTTTCATCTCTTGTTGTAGATTCCGATGAAGAAATTTCTTCTTCATTAGACATAGATTGTAAATATTATGATAGAAGCAAATTATATACACTTAACTTTAATAAAATAAACATTCTCTTTTTTTTTTCATCTAAAAATATCATTTTTACAAAAACACTTTGAGGATTTATAAATAAGGGGCTGTCCATTAATTACATCAACAAAAAAGGAGGAGGGGGGTCTGAAATTTTTTGACAATTTTAGACAAGAGGAGAGGGGGAGGTAAAGAAAAGTTGACCTCAACAACGTTACTTTTAAAAATAAATTCAGTTACTTTGTTACTAGTCATCCATACTTACTCAGTTATTAGTTATGCCATCATGAAATAGCCATGAGACTATTTCATGCCAGGATTAGATGGCCTGCCATTTGCAATCGAAGTTACTCATTTAGAGAGAGATCTTAGAGTTCTTATCTCAAATGATATTAAACTTAATGCTCAACTTTCAGCAGCTGCGGTGAACTCTAACTGCTCCTTAGAGAAGCATGGGATCAGCACATCTTCTTAGACAACCTGCTGCTTGCAAGCAGCAGAAGCCTAAGAAGATGTGCTGCATCTTCTTAGATGACCCCTGGTATAAAAATTTGATGTTAAAATTTCAATGTTATAATGCTCTCCAGCTCTATGCACAAATATTATTAAAACATCTAAAACAAGATTTTAGTAACTCTTTAAAAACTGAAAAAATTTTATAAATTATAGACTTTAGCCCTTTTGTCTTAAGAGATTGGTAACCCCTTGTTTATACAAATTATCAAACATATTATTTAGTTATTTGTTACTAGACTCTATTAGAATTACTTGGCTTTCAATGTGAAATTGGATTAGGCCTAAAGTTAAAGTAAGGAAGATTGGTACAACCACGTTTTGTGACTCAGCACTGTAGATAAATTATGATAAAAATATTATGATAAATATTTATAATTATCTAGGACTAGGTCTGTTGAAAGGGTACACTGATTACTACCGTTATCCCAAATTACCCTAATATTAATTTTATCCATGCAAAAAAAAATTAAACAGATTAATATATATATATATATATATATATATATATATATATATATATATATATATATATATATATATATATATATATATATATATATATATATATATATATATATATATTAAGTTTGCAATTATTAATCGTAATATAATAATTTAAAAATATAAACTTGTTTTGTGAAAGAAGATCTTGAAGATCTCATCAAAAATTTCAATAGTTGCAATCTTATTATCATAGTAAGAATTTTGGAAAACAGATAGATGGAGTGACTTTAAGAACAGGTTCTTGAACTTAAGAATGAGACCTGATTTTAGGGTGTTCGGAAGGGAGTTCCAAGAAAGGATACTTTGGCATGTAATGGAATTAATTCCATGTTTACTTGTCTGTTTTAGTGGGATAGTTAAGTTGTTATAAGTGACTGATCTTAGGTAATGCCCACATGTTGTTCTATTATTAAAGTAGTTGTAAATATAGTAGGAAGGACATCATGTTGTTGATCGCAGACAAATGAATAATTTAAGAACTGAAAAAAATTATAGTAAAACGAAGAACTTTGGTTGTAAGTTATAGGATGTCAGTAGGAAAATTCCTTGGACAAAAATGAATTATCTGTAGGATTATTCAATAATATTACTTATTATCTTTTAATTTTTTTATTATATTTACAATATAATAAAAAACAATAAAAACGCCTCGATCAATTATGTCATTCATTTAAAATTTAACTTAATTTTAAACTTTATTTTAAACTAAGTATCCAGGTAACACAACTCCCAATTATGGTTAAGAAAAACTAAAATGTCTACTGTTTCGGGTGCCAATGATGCACGCCGTTGATTGACCACATGTACAACAGTTGAAAAAGCGCACTCTGCTGGCACCAAAGTTGCAGGTATGCACATGTAATTGCAATGATATTTCCATTGACAGTCAATGGCGTTTTCGAAAGGTAAGACGCCAATTTATCCATATATCCAAACCCTTCATTGGCTGTGCATAGCAATGCTATTTCATCAAAAACATTCTCCTTTGGTAAGTCCGGTTCTAAATGATCCCATGCTCGCTTCGACATCGGTTCTTCTGCTACTACTTTTATATTTTCTTGATATTATCCATTGAGTAGAGCAGTCTATGATGACTTCCGTTATTTTTTCATCATCCTTAGATCTCAGTGCTGCTTATTTGCTACACATTTCCTGCATTGCTAACATACTTCATTTGAAGTGTGCCGCCAATTGCTTTGCAGTCCAAATCATATTCACAAATGCTGGAAGTTTCAGACCAGCTCCAATGGCTAACTGTAGCTGCCAATGCCATCAATATCTATATGACGTGTTCCAGTAAGATGGTGTCAGATCATGTTTGTGTTGCCACCTTTCACTGTCAAAATTGCCTTACATTGCTTGCACTTCATGCTGTTATTATCGATTCGTTCTGCATAAGACCTCACTTTTGATACTTTACGTTGATTGACCACATGTACAACAGTTGAAAAAGCGCACTCTGCTGGCACCAAAGTTGCAGGTATGCACATGTAATTGCAATGATATTTCCATTTTTTCTATAAAATTAATGTTTTAAAATGATTTTAAAACTTAATTAATATGTTTTTAAAAGTAAAGCATAAAGAAGAAAGAACGACAACTAGCTTTTATAAAACTTTAATTGGTTACAAATTGATGAAATTTTATTATAACATTTTATTTATTTACAATAAACTTACTTTGCGCACTTAAAAAAACTTCATTTTACAAATATTTTTTTTCTTCAAAAAATTGAATTTCTTTTTAATAAGATATTTAAAACATTTTATATATAATTTGCTTAACAGAAACTTGGGTTTCTTTGAAAGATCTTTAGGATAATTCTACTCTCCATCTTCTAGGTTTTCTAAGTTTGAGGAGTTCTGATATACGCAAAAGAAAACATTGTACTTAAAGTTAAGAATAAAAGGTTTCCAAATGAGAAACTCAAATAACTTTCTGAATATTTTTGTTGAATTTTTCAGAAATTCTAATGGTGATAAAGAAATCAGAACTATTTCTTCAAGATCTTATTTTACATATCAATTTCATATTGTTAAATTGTTTTATTTCAATTAATGATTGAAAATTTAAAAAAAAATTAGAATCAACGGTTACCCATTATTTAATAATGCTGCTTAAAGTTAAAAATTGAATTAAATTTTTTTTCTAAACATTTTACATTTTTTCTAAACATTTTACATTTTTTCTAAACATTTTAAACACTTTTTCTTAAAGTTGTAAGCTACTACTATTACTTCTATTTATTTTTTTTTTTTTTAATTTTAATATTTTTTAATTTTACTTAAAGGGATCCCCAACTGCCAAGACAAGTTGTGTTCATATTGAAGAAAATGCTTTAAAAAAACATTTAGGTTAAATTTTTTTGATTGAAACTAAATAATGAATGCATTATTTAGTTTAACCAATAATGGTCTACTCTTTTTAGTTTTTTTGTATCAAAATCTATATACCAGTCTTTTGATAAATTAGCTGCTTGGTATATTTTCCATCTATAATTTCCATCTTGGTATAATTATCATCTTTCACAAATGATACCTGTACAAAAATTAAGATAAAATTGTTATGGAGAAAGTGTTAACATTTAAAATTAAAGGAAAATTTAATTATATTAAAATTAAAATAGTTCGTTAACTAATAATTTACAAACAACAATTTCTGATTTGTAAATTAAAATAATAATTAGTAAACTTTGAAAATGTTAAATAATATATTTATATGGTTAATGTACTCTGCTATTTTAATTATATAGTAGATTATGTTAACAATATAAATACTTATACTATTTAAAATTTTCAAAATTTACTTATTATTAGTTTAATTTACAAATTAGAAATTATGTTTATATATATATATATATATATATATATATATATATATATATATATATATATATATATATATATATATATATATATATATATATATATATATATATACATATATATATGTATGTATATATATATATATATATATATATATATATATATATATATATATATATATATATATAATTATTACAGTTATTTAATATAAATTTATTTAAATATTCACCTCCCTTTCCGTAATTACATGTGGCATCCTAACTGCTATTCGCCCAATTGCATTAACAGTCCAAGGTTCTGATCTCATTTGAGCACCCAAACAAGTTATATCTTTTAATATCTGCAAATCAAGTGGAAGTTTTTTTTGCAAGTGTTTTACAACAGATATATATCCATCTCTCATTTGCTGTAAGAAGACAAATCTTTTTTTTTCACATGATATTTTGTTCACCTAAAACATATTTATATTGAAAATCTGCATCAATGAAAATGAATTAATGGGATTCTACTGTATAAAATTACACAAATCATTACCTTGAACCAGTTATGTAAACCAAATGCAAGCTGCTCAGCATCCTCACCGACAACATTAATTGCTTTTCAAAAAGCATTATGCACTGTGTGCAAAGTGCAACTTACAAATGGTAACAAGCCATTAAAACCATTACTATGAAGATCAGCATTTAACAATCTCCAAATGGCTTTGTTAATATTAAGACCATCTGCTGAAATATTAAAAAGACGATCCCATGGTAAATAAAACCTTTCATTATGACATAAATCTGCTAGCATTGTTTTGACATCTTCTGCTGTTGCTCTGCCAAAGAACAGCGATGTTAAATATTTTGTAACAACTTGGTTTTCGTCTTCTGACCAAAAACGACATAAAAGATCCATTTGTTTTCTTTGTTGTGAAGTAGTTGTTTCATCAAACATTAAAGTGAATGCATCTTGACTTAACGCGATACTATTACTAAACGCTTTTCCAACAATGGCCCAAGGCCTTCTTGCAAAATATATGAAGCTTTTTGCCGACTCATAGTAAAACATTGACTTATTTTACTATCTGGAAACATTCTTTGGAACAATATTGGTGTGTTGTCACAATGTCTTAAGGCAAGATCATTATCTGCCACTTTAAAAAGCCACATGGCTTCTGCAGCAGAAATTTATTCATTTATAGAGAACTCTAATTGTATAACGTTTTCTCCCCCAATCGAGTTTTTGTTAGAATCTACATATAAATGACAAGCAGTTTTTGAAAATCTTAGATCAGACACTGACTTATGTTTAGGTTTTGAAGAATGCTGATATAGTGCTTGGAAACCAACTAAACTGAATTTTAAATCACTTTTGCATAGTTTACAGATAGCGTATTCAGAGTTTCTTTTTTTAGCCCATAATTAGATTTTCACTAGATTTTTATCTAACTTTTCCAACCACACATCATTCCACTTAACCATTATACTATATAATCTATTGATAAATATACTAAAAACTAAATATAAAAATCACTAACTTTACTAGTTCTATACTATAGAATGATTTTTTTTTTTAAATAATAACACCAATTTAGCAATACAAATGGATTATTAAAATTAAAATGTGAACATAAAAGATTGTAACTGTTATTATAAAATAGTTTTGAAAATTAAATAAAAAACTAAGTAACATAATGTCTAAAACAACTTAAAAATATCAAAAACAGCAATTCTAAGCATTTAAAAAAAACTTTAAAGTGTAAAAAATTCAAGAAAAAAATGAAAAAATGACAAAAACTAACAAAAAAATGAAAAAAAATAAAGAAAAAAAAAAGAACCCAAAAAAAATGAAAAAAATGAAAAAAATGATGACTTGACAGCCTGCAAATATGAAAAGTACTTATTTTTGTAAGCATTTCATGTGTTGTGACATGTCACATGACATGTCACATGACAGCAACACAGTCAGCATGACATGTTTAGGTTAAATTAAGATAAATTTAACTGCTTTTGATTTTTTTTTTTTTTAATATTATAATCTAAGAGAAACTCTAACAGTTTTAAAATTGTATACTGTGTAAAAGAATAAATGAATTTCAAGCCATTAAATTACATTTATACTACGGCTCGTTTAACCTCTCTCCTCCTAAATTATGACAGTTTTTGTCAGGTCAGGAGTATGTCTTCATGATCATCCTGTTACTAGTAACATGTAACCCAGTGCAACCTGTTCCATGTTCTGCTGCCTTGCAGGATTTGCTATCTAAGCAAAGGCTGGAAGGAGTGTTCTTCCTGTCATCAGTACTATCTAATATCAGTCATGCCTATAGTAATTTTTTTTTTTTTTTTTTTTTTTTTTTCCAAATATAGTTGGAGGTGCCTTAGTTACTGTATTAGCTCACCTGTAATCTATGTTGTATGTATGTTTGTGTTCTGTCTGAACCTCTGGCGCGGTGTTCGCTCACCCGTAAGTTACTTTATGTTCTTTATGTATGTCTGTGTTCTGTCTGAACCTCTGGCGCGGTGTTCGCTCACCCGTAAGTTACTTTATGTTTATGTTTATGTTTTTTATGTTTTTTTATGTATGTTTGTGTTCTGTCTGAACCTCTGGCGCGGTGTTCGCTCACCCGTAAGATACTTTATGTTTTTTATGTATGTTTGTGTTCTGTCTGAACCTCTGGCGCGGTGTTGACTCACCCGTAAGTTGATTTATGTCTATGTTTGTTTGTGTTCTGTTTATACTCTAATGCAGCGTGAGCTCAGTAACTAACTACTTACTCCAACTACAAAACGTACACTCACCTTAGACTCCTGTATTTTGTTAGATGCAGTGTTTTTCCTAATGCACTTCCGAAATGTCATGCCTGGTTTTCTCAAAGTACTGTTGCGGGAAGTAACTCCTTTTAACTACTCCAGGTCAGGTCAGGATAATCGAGATCAATCTTGCTACTGGTATCACGTAACCCAGTACCACCTGCCACAAGCCCTGCTGCCTTGCAGAGTGTGCTCTTCTTATGCAAAGGCTAGGAGAAATAAACTCCGACTAAAAATTCCCCTGCCTTGGGGCTCTTGGTTGAGTAAAGGCTAGAGATGGTGTCTCGATAAAAACACTCATCTTGGGCAGATGTTAACTGCATATAGCTAAACATCCCCTGCCTTGGGGCTCTTGGTTGAGTAAAGGCTAGAGATGGTGTCTCGATAAAAATACTCATCTTGGGCAGATGTAAACTGCATCCAGCTAAACATCCCCTGCCTTGGGGCTCTTGGTTGAGTAAAGGCTAGAGATGGTGTCTCCATAAAAATACTCATCTTAGGCAGATGTTAACTGCATCCTGCTACTGTCTTGTAGAAAGCCTCTAGGCAAAAACTTTAGGGGTAAGCAGAAAAATTCTGCTAACCAGCCTCGAACCCCTTCTTCATCTATTAGGCTGGAGTAGATGTAACCTGTGTTACATTGTTTCCTGCTTAGGATGATGAATGCTGGATCTCCTTGACTCTACTCATAGAATTTTGCTTATGCCTCCTTGATAATGGCTATGCAACTCTTCCTGTTATCTCCATATGAGGGTACAGCTCTAAAACTCAGTTTAATGGTTCTGAGGCCGGCTGGTAGTAAGGTTTCCCGAACTCTGTGGTAGCTCTCAGAGAGGCTGATTCCATCAACAGCTGCAAAATATCAGAGTATTAACAGTGCCATGTTGCGCATGGATGGTGTCCCTGTTAATGCTTTTGGTGTGCATTGTCAAGGCCACATAAGGAGCCCTATGTCACGGCTTAGGGTTAATTAACAGGACTGAGACAACTGCATAGCTCATTGATTAGGAGGCTGTGCTCTATCTATGAATGAGTCAAGTTCTCATTAAACCCAAATCATGACCAAAGTAAGCAAAAATTTAAAACCTAAAAAACCATCCCCACCACCTAAATATTTTAATATATCTTTTACAAATATTTGCGGTCTACGAAGCAACTTTCCATCAGTTGAGTCTTACCTCCTGCAAAATTCACCAGACTTGCTTGCACTCAGTGAAACAAATTTAAGTTCTGCAATTCCTTCTTCAGATGTCAGTGTTGATGGGTACTATCCTTTGATTCGTAAAGACTCCAATAGTCACATGCTAGGTTTAGGGGTTTACATACGCATTAATTCCCCTATTTGTCGTGAAATCAGGTTCGAATCCTTTGACCATTCTTTTATGTGCTTTCGCCTAGCACCTCTTCACTCTATCACCTTTCTCTTTGTTCTTTATCGTTCTCCTTCTTCCCATGACTGCACTCTTTTAGATGTTATCTCTGATCAAATTGTCCATGCCCTCTCTCTTTACCCCTCTGCCAATATTGTTGTTGTTGTGATTTTAATGCCCATCACACTGAATGGCTTGGCTCTAACACCACCAATCCTGCTGGCACTAAAGCCTTTAACTTCTGCGTTTCTCAATCTCTTACTCAGATAGTTAACTTTGTGACTCGTTTTCCTGACAACCCTAATCATTTACCTTCACTCCTTGACTTATGTCTTGTCTCTGACCCCAGCTTATGTTCAGTTTCTCCCTTTTCTCCCTTAGGTGGTTCTGACCACGCAATGATCTCTGTAAATCTTTCTTCTCGTACTTCTTTTTTGGGCTCACCTTATCATCGCACCACCTACTACTACCCTAAAGCTGACTGAGATTCCTTTCGTGATTTTCTTCGTGATGGTCCTTGGGCTGATGTTTTTTCTCTCTCAGCTGACAAATGCGCCTCCTACGTAACCTCCTGGATTCAGGCTGGAATGGAAGCTTTTATTCCTTCTCATCGGTTTCAAGTCAAGCCTCATTCTACTCCATGGTTTTCTCCTTCTTGTGCGGCTGCTATATCCAATCATAACCATTTTTTTCATCTTTTTCAAAAGAACAACTCTCTTGAAAACAAACGGCTATTTATTATTGCAAGAAATCGATGTAAAAAGATGCTTTCTGATGCTAAACTCCATTATTCTCAGTTCACTAAATCTCGCATCTTATCGCAGAAGTTAGGCTCTAAAGACTTTTGGAAAATCTTCAACAACATTGTTAACAAGGGTAGATCTAACATTCCATCTCTCATTCATGGGACTGATCTTGTTACCTCTCCCAGGGATAAGGCAGAACTGTTTGCAAAGAACTTTTCTTCTAATTCCACTCTTGAATCTTATGGACATTTTCTTCCTTCCATTCCAGTCAATCAGGTTGACCCATTGTTAGACATTCAAATCACTCCGGCTTCTGTTGCTAAAGTCATATCTCAATTAAACTCGTCTACAGCTTGTGGTCCAGACAACATTCCTGTCACAGTCTTGCAGAATTGTTCTCCAAAACTTTCTTCAATTCTCTCTAAACTATTTAACAAGTGTTTGACTGAGTCTTGTTTTCCTGCTTGTTGGAAAATGGCATCTGTAGTTCCAATATTTAAAAACTCTGGAGAAAATTCTGACCCCTCCAATTATCGTCCGATCAGTCTTCTTTCTGTTATTAGCAAGGTCTTTGAGTCTTTGATCAACAAATTCCTCACATCTCATCTTGAGTCAAATAAACTGCTGTCAGACAATAAATACGGTTTTCGATCCTCTCGCTCTACGGCCGACTTGCTAACTGCTGTAACTGAAAGATTTTATCGTGCATTAGATGGAGGCGGTGAGGCTAGGGCTATTGCTCTCGACATATCTAAAGCTTTCGACAAAGTTTGGCATGCTGGTCTTCTCCATAACCTTGCTTCATATGGTGTTTCTGGGAAAGTTTTTGAGATTATCAAATCATTTCTTTCTGACCGGTTTATTAAAGTCATCCTTGAAGGCCAACACTCTTCTTTATTTCCAGTAACTTCTGGGGTTCCCCAAGGTTCCATCCTGGGCCCTGTTTTGTTTCTTATCTACATAAACGATCTTCCTAACAACCTTTCATCTAAAGTAGCTCTTTTTGCTGATGACTCAACTTTATACTCCTGTCTTGACAAAAAGTCTTCTCTTTTCGATCGCCTAGAACAAGCAGCTGATCTTGAATCTGATCTTTAAGCTGATCTCACTTCAGTAATAGATTGGGGTTCACAGTGGCTTGTGAATTTCAACTCTAAAAAAACCCAATTGCTTACTGCAAACAACTACCGTAGTATGGTCAACATTCCTATATTAATGAATGGCAATCCTCTTACTGAGTCGTCCTCTTTACATCTTCTTGGATTATCGCTTACTACTGACCTTTCATGGAAACCATATATACAATCGATTGCTAAATTAGCTTCTGCTAAGGTTGCTTCTCTTTATCGTGCTCGCCATTTCCTTACTTCTGATTCCATTCTCTACCTCTACAAATCTCTTATTCGTCCCTGTATGGAATACTGTTGTCATATTTGGGCTGGTTCTTCTAACGATTCACTTTCTCTTCTTGACAAGGTCCAAAAACGCATTGTAAATGTTGTTGGACCTGGACTATCTGCTAAGCTTGAACCTCTTTCCCATCGCCATAAAGTTGCATCTCTTTCTCTTTTCTACAGATACTATCATGGTCACTGCTCAAAGGAGTTATCATCTCTAGTTCCATCAACTAAAATTCATTCTCGTTTTACTCGTCATTCAGCTAAATCTCATTCGTTTACTGTATCTGTCCC